CTATTTTGTTAGCAATGCAGAAAAATCATATTTGCCATTCGTGTACCGAGACAAATTTTCTACAACTCTGAAACGAAAATGACTATTTTTCACATATTGCTAATCTTGCGATTTTTAAAATTTATTTTTAAAATTCATTTGTATTTAAGTTAAACTTTTATTCACCTTTCAACTATTAATAGTTAAAATGACGGGAAGGGATTCTGGAACTCAAGAAAACGTTCGCAGATGATCTTCTCCCCCTTACGTCACACAGATTTTACTGTTTTTTTGACTGAATAAATCTAAATCTTAAATCTTTTTACAAGTTTCTTAGCACATTTCTGAGGCTACAAGCCCCATTGAGGACACTCGCGAATTAATTAAAAATATTCATTTTATAAGGGAGGTGTTGTAAGAATGACCCAATGTCATCGAAGTATAACATTTAGGTTTACAACAGAGCATTGTTTGAGCCGTATTATAAAATAATACTTTAATTTGTAGAAGCAGATTAGGTACCTATTGCCTGCAAGAGCGCACATACTCATAAGGGAGTACATAATGTTTTTAACACCCGTAAGAAGACGTACTGTAACAGCACATTGTTGCCAATTAAGAAGCTTCTTTAACGTTCTGAATAACAAAAATTATATTCTAAACAGTAGCTCATTTCGCGTAATTTACGGTTAAAAAAAGGTTTTAATATTGAAATTAATAATCTTTCTCAATGCAATATATTTCTAAATACTAAATCTTAAAATCATTTCATGAATTTTTTAAAAAATATGATCAGTTTTGTGATTTCGAGGACAATTTTCTGAAACGTCAATGGGAACAAAGCATATAGAATAGTAATGCTTCTGCCGGTTCAGAGCCTGCTGTCAGGGACTGGAGTTATCCAACATCGGAACAAGAACCTGAAAGTCCCGGTATCGAATCCAGACAATACCAAGGAACATTTTTTCTTAAAATTCTTTCATTGTCCATATCAAAGAACGTTTAAAAATATAGAAATTCGATTATCGTTCAAAACTTCGAACCGCTATTCCATGTGCTCCCACAGCCTCGAGCACCAGCCACAAATGCGGAGTAAGCATACACGCATTTGGTGCAGTGTACGAGATACGATTAATTCACGGCTCATCACCATGAAGCCACGAATGCGGTTAGAGCATCTCAAGTTAGGAGGGGGAACTGCTACGTTTGAGTGCTGTACTGAGAAGGAACGTTATTAAGCTATCAGTTAATATCTGGTTTTTCCAATTTTTAGAACAGCTATTACATTAACATAAATTTTACTCATGTTAATGAATTCTGTCATAGTATTCATTGTGTCCTTTAATTTTATGTTGAAGCATTCCGAAATTAAACCTGGTTTTCATTTTGGTTAATTGTCAAGAATTTTGATGTTATTGAAGGCACTATTGTGAGATACATAAATTCTGCGCTTAGTGGTGGAGTTTTATCATTTTGATGAGCCGTGAATTAATCGAATCTCTTACATTGCTGCACCACATTTGTGGACGTTTACACGCATTAGTGCGTGAGGTGGCGGGAGCACACGGAATGGAGGTATCTATGCTATTGCAGTGCTGTCGTTAATGAAATTGCAGATATCTATGAAAATTTAAATGTGTATACAGGATAACCTACATTAGACACGTAAGTGAGTGTTTTATTAAATTCTTATAGTTATTGTATATAATGACTGACAACAAATGTAATTTAAATTTATATATCTACAGATGAGCAAACTCACACGCTCGAAACGTCGAGAATAAGCAATACATAAAACTCAGCACACATGTGGTAATGGTATCTTTAAAAACATTGACCTTCAAAAATATGTTATTGGACAAACTTATTCGTTCAATTCAGAGGTTCACAAAAAATATATTGAATCTATAAAATTATCTGCTTCAAAATTTTCATTTGATGTCTAAAATTTCCTCTTTAGTGTTACTCTTAATTTGGCACATACTGAAAAATGTATTATAGGTAGACATTTTTGATGAATATAATTGTATTGTACAGAACGTATTGTCGTAATAATTATATTATATCCCTCTTAATTCGGTCACCTACGGCTTGGATTTACAGATACTCTGTGCGAGCAAATACGGCCCTATTGATTCCGTGAGTATCGCAGTGTTAATCATTTAATAATCCCGATTATTTATTTACAATAGCTGTTTTCAAGCATGATAAAGTGAAATTAAATCGCCACCGCAAGATAGGATGGGTGGTATTTTCCCGCTTGGACCAGAGGCCCAAAAAGTAATCGTTTTCAGCACGCTCTTACACCAAAACAGTTTTTTTAGAAATTTAAAGTTAATGTATTTGGCGAAAATTTTAACTACTTTAATTTTTTAAATAACAATTGTTTCGATAAAACATATAGTATCGAAGATATAGGCCAAATACTAAACAGAGGGCGACATTTTCTCTGTGAAGCCAACATTTTTTGAGGTGGCAATAAATAAATAACAATAAAAAAATTAAAAAATAACAAAAATATACAGAGCCATTGAGAAAAAAACTTCCGGAATTATTTCCTGGGTCAGATACCTTCTGATTGGTTATCATTGGCTATAAGTAGTATTGTGATTGCAGTGTGAAAGCCTCTGTATCACCTAACAGGATGTGGACTGAAGATCTGCGACTATATGATTTTGAATCGGCCTTTGTTTTCAGTTACTACATTGAGTAAGTGAAGCTGTAGCTATATTTCCGATATCAGACCTTACAGTGATTGACAATGCACTCAAAAAAAAATTCAGTTACAGACTGGGCAGTAGTTCAAAGGTAGTGATTGCTCGTTTTCTCTTAATGAATTGGGATGATGATGAATATGTGATAAAGATTAGGAATTGTATTGTTTTTTCTAGTAGATTCATTATAAGGTTCTGTATTTGCTTAGGTCTGGAAGAAGAAAAGAAGACAGAGAAGTTAGAAGAAATAAAAAAAAGAAGATAGACAAGGGGCCGGTTTCACCAACAGCCGAGTAAAGTTGAGAGTAGTTACCCGAGAGTAACCATTTACTCCAAGATAGTAACTCTCGAGCAGAATATGAGCGTTTCACCATGCTTCTAGAAGGTTATTTTACTCTAGAGTACATACTCTCCGATTTACTCCGCAAATCAGCCGAACACACAATATTTGAGAGCGATTCAAGAGGCTGTGAGCGCTGGGAACCAATGCGGACCAACGTAAACCTTTGATTAATTCCTTATATTCTATATTTCATTTCAGTTTCGGAGTTCTTGGCGTTATAATCTGGTGTGGTGTTATGGTGGTTTGAGTTAGCATAGTTTATTTCCTAGTTTCTGTATCTTTATTTCTTAATAAATATTCATTCTTCTTATCTAGAGACGAGTTACTATTTTGTTAGCAATGCAGAAAAATCTAATTTGCAGTTCGTTTACCGATGGCGGTGAAAATGAATTTTCTATAACTAGGGAACGAAAATGTTTAGTTTTTAAATGTTGCTGATCTAGTGTTTTTCTAAATTTTATTATTATATGTTTTATTTTTTAAACTTTTATTCATCTTTCAACTATTTGTAGTTAAAATGTTGGAAAGCGATTTTGGAACTCAAGAAAACGTGCGCAAGTGATCTCCCCCATACGTCACATACAGTTTTTACTGAATAAATAAATGAATATTTCTTAGTACTTGTAATTCCTGTAGTTATTATTTTTCCTTTTGTTGTCGTATTCGGTTCCTACTACCTTTATTTCGTATCCACATGGGACAAAAAGAACTTTAGAAGTTCTCTACAGTTTACATTGTATCTGATGAAGTTAAACAGCTGATTTGGTCAAACATAACCTCATGGCAAAATCTCGATCGTCATAATTAAAACCAACCCATTCTCTCTCGCACCCTCTGTCTTCGCACTACTGGATAATATTCCGAATCATTCCTGGAATCGTCTTCAAATACTATCATTCGTAATCGTCGAGCCGTAACAACACTTCGGAGGTACATGCACGTTGAAAACTGAATTTACTCCGTACTTTACCCGACGGATTTTCGCGGTGTAAAGTTACTGTCGAATTTACTCTCGTGTAAGCAATTTACACTCGAGTAAAGTGTTGGTGAAACGCTCCAAGAAGTTACTCTCGAGTAAACATGATTTACTCCAGAGTATAATCTTACTCTTTGTTTGGTGAAACCGGTCCAAGAAAGGATATTGAACAAAAGAAAAGAGAAGGAAGGAATATATGATATTTCCTCTTCACAGATTTCTTAAATTATTATACTACCCAACACTTACTTTCTGCCACACCAAACATTTTACATATTCAATTTGATTTTCCATAATATATTTAGACATTGGAAAGAAAATTACAGGATGCTCATTTCACTATGAAGGTTCTTGTCTAATTTTTCTAAGTAATTCATATACATTGATATAAGATAGACATATCAGGCAAACATCTTTACACAAGTCATTTAGTAACGTAAAATAAATTTTGTTGAAAATAAATGTAAAGCTCAAAAATTTAATTCATGAAACAACTTTAGCATTTCACCCAGAAAGTAGATTAAAGTTATATCCGACTATCCCATTCATGAAATTAATATCAATAGCATTAACAATACATTGATATGCTTGATCAGGGCAGATTATCTCAACAACAAAAAATTATAAACATTTCTAACTCATTTTTCTTACCACTTCCTGCTAACTGACCAATCGTAAGCTGCAATAGATCAGTCAATGGAAACAATGTGCTCTGAAAGCACAAGTTTTATTAATATATTTCGTTCACTCAGAAATTGATTAGGACATAATTTCATTTGTGGAATAGTCTTGGTATTACATATGAAAAAACAATGTAAACATTTTCATTATGAACTGAAAAATTATTTCATATCCATGAAGTGTGTATAAAAGGGAAGAGGGGAGAATGAATTTGACTTCACACATAAGAGAATAAAAAGCAATACTTACTAGGGATTTTGGATTATTGTGTCAAAGTTTTAAGTGATATTTACTGCAAGCATATAACAGCAATGTGATATGTACTCAGCTTCTCAAAAGAACCTAAAACAAGAAAAGAGAGTAACAATAACATTTAACTTTCTTGAAGAATAACATTGGGACACTTTAAAATGATGACTGTATTAAAAAATTCATTTCAGCAATTTCATTTCAGTACATATTAAAATTGAATGTTGTCAAAGATATTACCTGTTTCACAGCATATAGTTTTACAGCAGCAATCCAAGACATTTAAAGTTTTGAAGGAACACAAGCATGATGCAAACACTCCATTTCTCTTGAATATGTCCACACGATTCTTCTTTTTGAGAGGAATTTCCATGAAATTCACTTTCTCTTCACCCTACCACCACGGATACACAATATTCCCTTATTTTCTCCCCTCCCATTAAATTTTAATTTTCTCACTAGTTTCCGTGATCACTGTGTGTGCACACATCCAAAAAGCGTTTGTTAATACAAGCAAGGGAGTTTTAAGACAGATTTACAACATAAAGTACAAAAAATCTGAATTGTAGTGAGTACATTAAACAGCACAATTATCAGACAGATAACACACAATGCTAGCAAACAGCAAATACTCAAAAACATAACCACACGGTTCAAACAGACACTGTACGTAGATTCTAATAGGTGGTTGACGGATAGGTTCACACCAAATTCAAGAACATTTTTAAACATAACACACAATACAAATTAAAACATCAAATATTAGTAACAGAAAATTGAAACAAAAACTGACCCACATCAATTTTAAATACATTACATTTCTTATCACGATTGTAATTTGGATTATTTATATAAGGACAGTAACAGGAATATTACGTCATGGATCCAGTGAATTAACACCACTTCCAAATCTACTTGCACACATCAACAATGCAGAATAACATGTAGTGCTTTCATTACTTCAAGATTAACTTGCAATAAAAAAGCCAACAAAAAGGCACACTCACACACACAAAGATAATTCTTAAATTAGCAAATTTCATAACGGAATATCTTGAGAAAAATTTTAGCCTGGGATACATAATGAAATTTTAGAGTTACAAATACTTCACAAAACCTCCCTATTATATTCAAACTGTAATAATACTATACTTTGTCAATTCAAAAAATATAATAATGGATCCATATCCAAAAATTAAACTTTAGATATTATAAAGAATGCAAATTAAATCAGACTCATAATATTAAAAGAAACTACACCAATCATGGCACATTGTTACTTGCACCGTGGTAACTTATTACCAATCCCTGCAGGTTTAAGAGATTAGTGCCTGTCATCATGCAAAGGGCACATCAAAAGAAGAGCAGCGTGCAATTGTGCCCTGTTTAAAGGCTTGAAGTGTGTGAATTCAAAAACAAGCAGTTGTCAATGACCATAGTAAGAGTGATAAAACAGCCAACAAAATTCAACTGCCAAAATAAAATCTGAAATTTAACTAATCACCTGTGACCCAGAGCCAAATTTTGGGAGGGGAAAATTAAAAAGGGTTTGGTCATGTGACATGTTTTGGTCAAAATGTTGTGTCATTACAGATTTTGTAAAATATCACAGGCTTTACTCGGCTCATGCTGAGATACGATTTTACTCGTTTTAATGAGCATCCGAAAATATTGTTGTTTGAAAGTTACATGGCAAGTTAAAATTAATAGTTACTGCCAAATTTTAGGGGGGGGGGGAATTTCCCTAATATTCTCTCAGTGGATCCGCACCTGAGCTAATGAGATGAACAAAACATCAATTGTGATGGCAAACTTATGCAAAAAAAAAAAAGCACCACTCTCTAGAAAGCTGTACATTTTTATGGTGAGATCAAGATAATTATTAAGCAAAAGACTTGACAGAGAGGTGTTTGAAAAATGTTTAGGAGAAACCCACAGCATTCTATGAGTCTTGTTTGCATGAAGATGTAGTGGGAGAAGCTTAAAATTAAGCTTTTTATCTTTAAGAGAAAATATAATCATCCAGTAATGGTGAATTTATATTCAAGTAACTAATTAACCTTTAAATTTCATTAACACCTCAAATGATTTCTTTTTCTTTTCTATTTATTCACTCGCAACATTCAATGGCCAATCATGTGAAAGATTTGATACAAGAATATACAGGGCTTAAAAGAGTTCAAGCAAGGATGCCAAGGATTAAAATGTATACGGCTTACACAAATTCACAAAACACTTCTCATTCCATTGAAATTCCATTCATTAATTTAATACTCTTTTACTCAGATAGAAAAACTGCAAGTCACATTTTTTATGAATGTAAAAGAAAATAAACATAAAACAATATGAAGCAGGTGCCCACTTTAACCTTAAGGATATCTTAATGCTTCCCTTGCATTTTGCCACCCTTTCCTCTCCCCCACCCCTCTCCTCTCCACACCACCACACACTTCTTTCAACTTTTTTTTCTTTGATTCGATTTTTTGAGGATTCAAATGATATTAAATGAAACATACCTCATCGGGCATTGTGAGTATTGGGCATCGGGCATTCTGAGTATTTGGCATTCTGCGTAATTGATAAAAAATTGTTGCGAAATGCATGGCAACCGGAAATACTGGTTCTCCATGGTTGCCAGGTGTGTTGCGAGCTCTTTCCCCACCACTACTACGGAATTTTCCCAAATAACCTCTCCAATGAAGCAAAATTGCCCAACTTTGAAATGAAAAATATTCTCCAAATTGTGGACCAATGACATTAGCTGTCCCCGACGATTCCATTGGCTCCCCCTTAAATTCAAATAATTCAATTCAACTAATCATCGTCCTTTGAGCTACTCGAAGTCCTAAACTACTTTCGTTTTTCTCATGTTTTTCTTCCTCTACGCTTGTCGCTTATTTTCGTTTTTTTTTAATACATTAAAATGAGAATAATGACTTTTTTCATTCATAATACTTAAGAGAATAATATTTCTGTCACGACTCTGAGTTAAAATAATTTCCCCCAAAAATTGCCCGTCCATTTATGTTCCCCATTCTTTCCTGTGGGGAAGAAACGAAGAAAAATCCCCAATCTGGCAACCGTGTGTGTATCACACAAACTATTAGACGATAATTCACATTAAACAATATACACTGACGTTCAACGAGGAAAGAAAGAAAGAAAGAAAGAAAGAAGAAAAAAGAAAGAAAGAAAAGTATGGGAGCCGAAGTCCACCTAACTTACATTCGGTATCGCCAACTTTTGAAAATAAAAATTCATACAGAAGACTAAACTTACAGTTAAACCTTGTTTTTATAGAGCAACATATCCATATTTCTCTTTTAACCATTTGCAAATAATTTATTTAAATATTCCACTCAAAAAAGCAGCTAGTGTTAATCTATGGATATAATAAATAGTTGAGAATTTCACTAGTGAATGGGACGAACGTACCAAGACATGCGTAAGCAAACGGGATGGTAGTGGAGTTATGGAAGTTCCACGTTCCACCCGGAGACCGGCCTTCGTTTGCCCTTCTCCATCGTCCACAAGCCCTGCCACACTCGACTCTATGCCCCCAACTATCATCTTCAACGTCTCGCACTTGCACGAGAAATCGGAGGATTTGTTATAACACCTAGACGCTGCAAGGTATGCACGATCGTTTGCTTACGCATCTGTCACAGTACTTTATATTAATTTTTTGTATAATGTAATATTAATATATAATTTCTTGCACATATTGTCAGCTCCATTGATGATCGCTGCGTGATCGAAAATATCTTCAGTGTTAAAAATATTGATACCTAGACAACACCTTTTTCCCCAAATTATTACAAGGCATCGACCTCATCAACAATATAATTAAAAAATAACAAAGTTTGCTAACTAATAACACAGATCCGATTCTTTTGAAAACATGTAATTTCGAAAATTTCAAATGTTCAACTTTTGTTCGTATTTGTGACGGTTACTTTATTGGTTTTACTTTACTTTTACTTACGGTTTACTTCGGGACCGTTGATATTCTAGCGCGGTTGTCTAGTAGATAAGAGCGTTGATCTCGGAACCACGTGTTCAAGATCAAATTTCAGCCTCGTCACATCTTTGCGGGTTGAAAACACTCACAGACACTTCAGTTACGTTTATATCCCTAGAGAAGTAACTTGTCACTGACCGCGAAATCATGCAAATGAAAAGGGCTAAATATTCAACTTGTAAAATAAGTAGTACATAACTGTGACAAATACGAGCTGGTATATACTGTTGTAGCACCTTCAGTTTTGGGTAGTGAAATAGCTCTGAAACAAAAATCTCTGACGATAAAAACGATTCAATATTTCAAGAAAAGCCTAATTTTTAAGATGAAATGTAATCTCACATTTACTGAAAAGAAATATATTCAAATTGTTAACAAAATATGGAGGTCCTTCCCAAAGCTGTAGTTATACTCATATCATTATTATTATAATTATTATCATAATTATTATTATTAATAATATTACTCGAGCAATAAACAATATTCACTACTACCCCAAAAATTGTATGCTACATTTTGATGTAATAGAACTGGGGGTCAAAAATGACGGGACGAAATCAAATTTTCCTATTAATTACGCATTATAATAGTAAAACATACAATAATTGATTACTAAATTTAAGTGTTTTTTTTTAATTTCAAAATTTCCTGTATTGTCAGTGATGTCGGGGAGACGCGCTCCGGGGGGGGGGGAGTAATTTTGAGCGAGGTAAAATGTTTGGCCATTTGCGAATGTAGTCACTGGATGCCAGGTCCAATGGACGACTGCAATTTAGTTTCTCTATCTGTTAGAGGAGTTTAGACAGACTGCATTCTCGGAATCCAACGGAGGGCATATCGAAGAATATGTCGACTGTGTTCCCAAAATTCTTTCGAATGTTGTGAAGAGTCAACAATCTGCTGCGATTCAGTCTCGTGATTTTACATCGGGGGTGAGGCGTTCGCTCATCGATAGATTCGCCGATGACAAAGCAAAATAATAAAAATAAATTTTAATTGTTTGCATTTATTAATGTTATATTACAGTTGTATTGAATAATTATTCAAGATATATAATATATAAACTGTATTAGTAAAGAAACACGAGAAATACACATGAAATAAAGAGAACGTTGCAAAGAAATCGCTACTATCAGCGCCTCGAATTGGGAGCTAGCCGCCCGCTCGCGCGGCCTCAGCTGGCCCCAGCGGTTGGTACTCTACTGCACGGCGAAAAGCGCTTCGACTCGCGGCTAAGGTCAGCATCCATGGTGGAAAGAGAAGCAATCTAAAAATGTGAAGAGATCTCCATGTAAGACTTCCTGTAATTTTTCGTCCCGAGCCACCACACGAAATCAAGAGAGCCGCCAAATGATACCAATTTAGAGACGCCT